TCCCCCCCCCTTTTACTTACTTGGATCTCTTCTGTAGTCACCAAGGAACTCTTCCAGGCTCACAAGTCCATCACCATTTTTATCATGTTCTTCTAAAGCCTCCTGAATGACAAATTCCTTTTGTGTGCATATGTATATGTGAAAGAAACATTAGCTGGTAAAAACTTAGCATTAAGAAAAACAGCAATATATCATTCTAGAGGACTAAAAGAATATATCCCATATTCTAAACACTTATTGGTTTCAAACAAATTTCTCTTTCAGTGTAGAATAGTGTAACAATTAAAACAGCCACAAGTCCAGTCCTGGAGGGAAATAAGTCCAGACTGCATATTCATTTGATTTTTAATTCAATCACATTTTACTGAAATCAAATCTGAATGGGATGCTTGGATTTGGAATCCTGGAATTGAATGCAAGGCAATAGATATGTATATGAAATATAAATTTAAAAAGGGGCACTGCCACCTATTTAAACAAAATGGATCACTTTTCTCTATTACTTCCAATTTGGTAAATACTTTTTGATAGTAAAATTATTAGGGAAACATTTTTAAAATTATCTGCCTTTGACACTATATTTTCCAATGGAGTTAAAGTCAATGTGCCTGCTTGTCTAGTTTTACCATGCCTTGTTTGTTCACCAATATTAGCAATCATGTCACACAAACTGATGCCAGGTTTGCTTTGTGCTCCCTCTGGTGGCTGGCTCTGCAGCAGCAAAGAACTAAACATTACAGGTTCTATAGAGGAAAGAAGCTATTTCTTTTCAATTTCTTGGCAAGAAAGTATTAAAACAAAACCCCCAGCATATTTAAATTAAAGAATTATAGACCTCAGACTATAAAGAGGCACTTTAAAAATCATACTTGTGAGTGAAAATGTTTCATCTACCTGTATAATTACTTAAAATTACTACACCTCTACCCCAATAAAACGCTGTCCTCGGGAGCCAAAACAATCTTACCGCGTTATAGGTGAACCGCGTTATATCGAACTTGCTTTGCTCCATCGGGGTGCGCAGCCCCCCTCGCCCCCCCGGAGCACTGCTTTACCGCGTTATATCCAAATTCCTGTTATATCGGGGTAGAGGTGTATAACTGAAAGATTAGGATTTATTTTTTTCATTTTATTCAAAATGCTCTCAAAAGAAACAGTTTCACTGTTGTGCGCATAGCCAGTTTTACTGTTTGTATGAATCTTTCATACACCAATAAGGGAAAGGAAAATATTTTTAAAAAATAAGAAAATATGATTGTGAAACCACAAAAGTTAGCATGGAGATACAGGGGCTAGTGTGTTAGCTGAAACTTTTAAACTCTTTGAAACTGATAAGAATTCAAGTTGACAGGATCTCTTTAAAAGTAGATCAAAATTAACTTAGATAATTTAAGTAATTTTTTAAACAAAAGCATCAAAGGTACATAAGCAATGCATCCTTCATCTTGAAACTAAGAACTCTCTTCTAATTTAAAACTGTTTTACTAAGCTAGGAAATCTCACATTCTCACTCAGGCCAGTCAACCAAATCCAGTCAATTCAAGTGAATGAAATTAACTTACTAATCTACGTTTAGAACTCTTAGGACTTTCCAGAGAAGTAGATACTAGTACAGACCTGTACTAGCTTATTTTGATTCTCTGGTTCTATCCCAGATGCTATGTTCACCTACAGTCTGCTAGTGTTAGTGATGATGTTCATAAAATTGATGAACAAATGCAAATAACTAAACTCCACAATAAATATATATAGTGCACGAACAAGTAGGGCTTAATTTTAAGACTTTATGGCTACAAAATAAAATTGGGACAGCTGTATTGAATTGGCCTGAGCATATCTTTTGACAAGTGACTGAACAATTTTTCCCAGCCTGGCTGGTGCATAACTGGTCTGTCTCATCTTACGCGGGGGTTCTGTTCCGCGGTTAGCGCGTAAAGCGAAAACCGCGTAAAGTCAAAATTACATTGAGTTCAATGGCGGGCGGAATCGCCCGCACTACAGGTACAGTATTAAAATTGTTATTTTTCTCTTTTTTTGTTTTTGCCGACCCCGTAAAGCTGAAATCGCGCATGTTAAATGCACGTAAAATGTGACAGACCCGTACAGCAATGAAGCTGAAATCGTTTCTGCTACATTTGCATGCAGACTCATTTTTAAAAATCACAGTAATTAATGCCCTCTCATCTCACCTAACATCAAACCTGAAGGCTTATCTGTAGTCAGAAAAGTGACTTTCTGCATCCCTTTTAGAGGGCTGAGTATTCCCTTCACTTAATCCTTTCCCATGCCAAAGGCTTCTTCTTAAGATGATTTATATCTTTCTGATGGGGACTCTTTTCCAAGCTAGACCTGACTCCCTCATCATAAAACAGAACGCTCTACTGCACTACTCCCAACCTAAGGGGAGAATCATCTAAACCCACCTCTCGTATGACAATTTAAAGCATCTCCACTACTCTACTGGGTAAACTCCTGAACCCCAAGACTGAGGACTAAGAAAGTTGCACATCATATATGTATGTTCTTCAAGAGAAAGGAATAGTAGTTGTTCACAGGCAAGTTTTCCAAGGTTCGTTTGACTAAGACAACCATTAAAAGGTGTAGCCTTGATCCACATTAACCTTTAGAACAAATGATTTTCCCTAAGTCTTACCGTCATATACTCAGCTTCTTCGGGATGCTCAAAAGCAATAAATTCATTCAGATTCAGACCAGGAACTTCATCTCTATTGGCTTTTTCAAACCGCTTCTTGTCCTTTAAATGAAGCTTAAAAAAAAGTTTTCAGAAAACAGACTTGATTCGATCACTTAATGAAGCAGAACAATGACATCTATAGCAACTGGTTTACAGGATTACAGCTAGAAAACACAGTATTACCGCGTTTCACATATGGGTATAATAGAACCTGTTATGTTTACACTAATACAGCTCATGCAGAGATAAAAGAGCAGTGCTCTTGGTTAAGGTAATTTGTTACAAGTATGCATATTGAAACTTGCTACTTTTAGACTCCAAGGGAAGATCTTAACACAGGTTCCTGGCCCCAGACCTCAAATGAAAAAGAGGTAGTGTGACCAGACCAAGCAGCAGGTGTATTCTTCACACACATTACTCCTCCAAAATTCACCAATCCAACCACAAACACTAATCCAGATCATGGCTAGCTGCATAAATTGAGCCCCAGACTACCGAGGGTCGTACAATAATTATGTCAAGTAAGTGCTACCACAATACAAATAAATAAGAACAGATGGGTACAGTACATAATTAGCATTGTAAAGAAATGAAACAGTGGTCAAAACTTTGGGGGACCAGTTAAAAATTAAAAGTGTATTGCTTGTAGAAAGATTTTGAGTTGTATTTAAAAGGGAGAGGGAATCCATGAAGGTCAGGGCAGGGAGCAGACATTTTCCCAGGCTGATGATGCAGCAAAATATAAACCAAATATGGGAAATGAGAGGGGAGACTCACAGGTTAGCCTTGGAAGAGCACATGTGGAGAGAAATGGATAAAACTGTGGCCCAGAAAGGTCTTGTAGTCTAAAGGATTGTCCACACTAGGGAATTTTTCAGATTTCCCAGCCACCATGAGAACTGTAATGTAGACAGGGCTTTGGCTGTTGCCACTTTTTAACACCATGCTATCTAATCTTGCTGGGAGCAAGTCTAATTAACATTTTGCAGTCAACAGTGTCAGCAGCCTTTCTGTACTAACATGGCTTACAGCAGTTTAGCAGATTTATGGAAAAATGAATTGGCTGAAGGGTACAACAGCTCTACACGCTCTCTATCAGAATGCACCAAAGCAATAGGTGTTATAGGCCTGATTCAGGAAAGCACTTAAGCATCTGCTTAAGTACTTTACTGGACTGGAGCAATAATGAGCAATTCTCTGCTAAATAAATTAACAATGCAACAGATTTAGTCATTTCATTGGATAGAACAGAAGTAAGCTCCTTGTTATAGAATCTTGCTTCGGGATAAGGGCAGCAACTTTGACAAATTGCTATAGAAATGGCAAAGCAAAAGGGAGACATAATGTAGCATTTATCTTGTGACATTCTGTTCTATTGCCATTATCTCTTCAAATAGTTTACAGGACAAAACATAAACACATGTATCTATGATTTTATAAACTGGATTATTCATTTTTATAGCACCCATCACCATAATACCTGAGCCATGGACAAGGTTCCTTTTGACAATATTTTGTATTTTTTCCCCTTTTAGCTTACTGGGCCAGGAGATATACTGAAGTGAATAGTATTCTCATAACAGCAGAATTCAGGAAAGGATATGAACTCATACTTGGCTTATGCCCTAAACTATAATTAATGGGGGCTAGGAAGAAGATTTTCCTATGAGGTTATTCCATAGTTGCTTACTACAGGTATCTTGTACCTTCCTCTGAAGCAGCTGGTACTGGCGACCATCAGAGAGAGGATAGCGACTAGATGGGTCATTGGTCTGATCCAGTACATTTCCATCCTACATTGCCAAGAGAGGGACCAACTGAGGTGTGGCTTCTAGGATTCCATTACCAATATATTAGTACCCTACTCAACTCTTAAATGTGGCTTGTTCTGTCATTCATTTTGTTAGTAGGAACTTCAATATTTTGTTATTACCTTTTAACTACTGAGCAAGTCCAGACAGCTGAAAATGTTCAGTATGTTTGCCAGCTCTGACTGTGTTTAAGAAAAAAATGACTAAAGAATCCAACACCACTGCCATTTGCCAATGCTTTGTGAAAGCTGGTGTTTGAGTATCTTACCTGTCTAAATGATTCTTCTTCTTGATCTTCCAGGACAGTATTCTCATCAAAGTCAATTACACGATCATACATTTGAATGTTGTACTCCTCCCAAGATACTAATCCATCACCATCTTTATCATATTCACCAAACTGTTGTTTAGCCTCTTGCGTAACATAATGCTTAAACGATTGCTGGATCCATGAACTTAGTTCATCTGTGGAAATGCCACATAATGCAATTAAATCTTTAAATGTAACCTTTTTTTTATTTAAAAAGCAATTACAGTAAATGTTGCATTTTCCACATTCCTAAACAGTATAAAGAAGGTATCTTCATATTCAAACAGTGGAAGATTTTACTTGTTAAAATAAACACATGCAATCACGTAACCGGGGCTTCAGTTGTGCCCCAGGAATCCACTTTCTATAGGATATTCCTGTTTTTTATGCCAGCCAAGAAAGAGAACCAACCAGAGCTAAAATCCTATGTTATTCCCATGTAGCAGTATTTTCTCCATTAATGTTTATTAGTAACATGAAACTAATTACCATCATGATGCCCATTTCAAATTGTTTACAGGGCTAGAGAAATAAATGAGAAACAGTATCGTTTAACCTCAATCTGTGGGTACAAAAGGCATACTGTCTAAAGACAACTTTCTGCAAAACGAAATTCCACTATTTTAAAAAGTATTCAATATACCAGATTTCTGCATTCTGAAAAGTGTGACAGGCACAAATTATAAATAAGTACAATACATACAGCTACATAAATCCGTCAATATCCCCTAAAGTTAATTATCCAAAAGAAAATACTACCTAAGGATTTCCACTTAAAATGAGCCCCAACTGGGCCTTATAAATTTTGGAGTAGACATTAAGCTTTGTTTTTCAAGGAAATATAGCAACTAAAAGAAAAACGCCACCAAGATTTAGCCAATTGGCCAGTTCTCCCTCTTATACTTAGATGTCTTAACCACCCAATTAAAATGATTACTTCCCAAGATTGTATTTTCAATATATTAAAAATGCATACATGTGTGCGCATGCACACACACACCCTTCCTATTATTAGAAAAAGAATCTCTAGTCAAAACCATTAAATTCCAGTGCAATTCTGAAAAGTGACAAATATAGGAATGGCACCTTTTTATTCAACTGATCTGCACTCCCACCATTTCACAGCAGTCTCTTATGCTAAAATAAGTTTGTGTTCTGTATTGCTAAAAGGAATAAAGTAACTAATACAATTTACAGGGGGGCCCTGTGAAGCTAAGTTGCTCAGCCTTTGGCTTCAACCCTGGGTGGCAGGGCTCAGGGTCCAGGGCATTAGCCCTGTGTGGCACCCTTGGCCCCAGTGAGTCTAATGCCAACCTTGCTTGGTGGACCCCCAGGGGACCCCTTGTTGAGAATTGGTGCTGTAGAAGGAATTGATTCTAACTCTCTCTCTTAAGCACAGTGTTTACTATGAAGGGGTAACAGGAGTAAAAAGCAGAAACATCTTATTTTTGCACTGAAAGAATCAGATAGGACTGTGGATACAGACGACAGTTATTTTGCAATCTAGAACTTCAACTTTGACATAAATTTAACAGTAGATACAGTAATACAAGAATACTGCACAGGTTCAAGGGAGACATGTTGTAGGGACTGACAAGTTTAGACACCTAGTAGATAAAGAACTGATCTTACCAATGGGGGCAGATAGAAAAGAAGTGGGGAGAATCCCCATAGTGAAAACTCCCTCTTCCTATCACACTCTAGCTAGTATATGTTTGATATACATGCAGCTGCCCCCTTCTGACAACTAAAAGTGAGAAAGAGTAAACTCTCACACCAGAACTTTTTGACTATGTATCTGCTACCTGTCCCTTCATCTCCACATTTTGAGTTTTCCTCTCCTGTTAGCAGCTCCATTGCTTGCCTTTCCTGCTTCTTATAGCTTTCCGGAGTAGCAGAGTGAAATCAACATGTTAACTTTAATGCTTAGCCACAGCAGAGGAACAGTGAATTTGACCAGTCACTTGTTACTATCTCTCTGCAATAGCTTCACAAAGCTATGAGCAGCAACAGAGACACACAACAGTGTCTGCAGACAAAGAAAGACATAGCTACACTACTAGGTTTACAACTCAAGCTTTTTAAGTAGATGTCTACCCCGATATAACGCTGTCCTCAGGAGCCAAAAAAATCTTACCGTGTTATATGTGAAACCGCGTTATATCGAACTTGCTTTGATCCGCCGTAGTGCGCAGCCTCCCCTCCCCCCTGCCCCGGAGCACTGCTTTACTGCGTTATATCCGAATTTGTGTTATATTAGGTCGCGTTATATCAGGGTAGAGGTGTATCACGCTGCACTATTTTCTCACCCCTACCCACTATGTAAGTGATTTTTTTCCAGTGACACAAAATCTGTGTGCAGCCCCTACCATCAGTAAGGAATCCATTGGAGTCCAAGTCAATTTTCTTTATGATGGCCTTCAGTCTCTTTTGCTGTTCCTCTGGACTGAGTTTAGTATATTCCTCCGCTTCATCCTTTGGAAGGAGAAAAAAGCCAAACAGAACTAACACAAAAGTCTGATACAGCCCTGCCACTTCTGAGCAGAAGAGCAAATTAAAATCTCTCTTCCCCACAAAAAAATAAATCACACAGCAACCTGCGTTCATTTAAAAAAAAAAGTGGGGGACACATCTCAACGGGGTGGGTGGGTGTCATCGTTCAGCAGCGTTCACAGCCTCCCGGGCTGGGAGACAGGCTGCTGCAGCTCTCGAAGTCTAGCGAGGCTTAGCACCCCGAGCCCAGGGTCATCGCCCGGCGCCCCCTGCCTGGGGACTGTCTCCTAGCCTCCAGGAACGGCAGGAAGCTCCCCGCCCACCAATGCGAGTCTAAGGGGGCCTCCCGGGCCGCTCACCTGGCCTCCGAGCAGCGCCTCCCGGTCGTAGTCGGCCCGGTGCTCGCCGTCGACGTAGTGCTGGTCGCTGGGTCCCCCGCACGCAGCGCCCAGCACCCCGAGCACCAGGCCCAGCCACAGCAGCGGCGGGGGCCGCATCGCGCCCGCGGCCCCGCCGAAGGAGGAGCAGAGCTGGCGGCGGCGCTGCAACTGTCCGCCCAGTCTGGCTGGCTCGACAGGCTGGGACCAGAAGGCTGGTGGGGGCCACCCGGTTGGCGGCTCGCTCTGCGGAGACGTGGCTGCAGAGCCGGACACAGCGCCCCGCACCGGCTGCGAGCAGCCTCTGCAGGGAGAGAGGGGCTGTGAACGGGGCCGAGCTATAACGAGGCCCAGCGACCCCAGGCCCCGCCTGGCTCATAGCGACTTGGGTTCCTCCTCCCCCACCTACGCTGAGGGAGTCCTGCCCGAGTCACAGCTCTCTAACCACTAGCACCTACTCCCATGCTGAGCTGGGAAGAGGACCCATGATTCTTGATGCCCAGTCCCCTGTTCTAACCACTAGCCCACGCTCAGCCTGGAACCGAACCCAAGAGCCGGGACTCTGATGGGTTAGGGCCATGTCATTGCCATTCATAGAATCATAGATTATAGGACTGGAAGGGACCTCGAGAGGTCATCGAGTCCAGTCCCCTGCCCGCATGGCAACATCCTCCTTCCCACCAGAGCTCCTTAACTTACTATACCATTTAAAAGGGAAAAAATACAATGATCTCCTGGACCCTGGGCTCACCGCCCCCCCCATTGGCCCTGGCCCCCGCTTCCTCCCCCATCCATCTTGCCCATCACCTCTGGCCCCCACTGTCTCCCTAACCACCTGCCTATCCAGGGCTTAATTTGTCCCCTGGCTTGCCATGTCTGTGACACTTGCATAACAAGTCTGCTGTGAAAATTGATATTTGTACTGTTGGTAATATCACTTTTCACAGCCTCACAGCTAGCTAGTAAGTCTGCTATGAAAAGTGATATTAACAAACATACAGATATCAGTTTTCACAGCACCAGACTTACTAGCAAGTCTTTTTTTTTAAAAAAAGGACAACCAAAACCAAAAGAAACAACAACAACAAGATACAAGAACGCGCAAAGCACCTTATTCGTGTTTCTATTCTGTTTAGGTCCAGTAAAGAATAGAGAACTGTACATTATTATTATTATTGAGTCTGCAATAAAACTCTATATAAATAAAGTATAATGATTTGGACATGCAGATGTGCATATTTATTTCCTATCCTATCCCCTAGAACTGGAAGGGACCTTGAAAGGTCATCGAGTCCAGCCCCCTGCCTTCACTAGCAGGACCAAGTACTGATTTTGCCCCAGATACTTAAGTGGCTCCCTCAAGGATTGCGCTCACAACCCTGGGTTTAGCAGGACAATGCTCAAACCACTGAGCTAGTTTTTCCTAAAGTTCATTAAGTATTTTAAGAAAATTTGTCATAGTGGCCACCAGCAAGAGTTGGTGGCCACACTTTGAGGCCACCAAAATTTTTATTGTGAGAACCCTGGAAGGTTTACTTAGTCCAGCCTCTCAAGGTTCCTTCCAGCCTTACAATTCTATGGTTCAAAGAAAAGGATAAGTCCTGTAACTGTTCACGGTTTCAGAAAAAAAATTAAAACTTGGTCAGTTTCTGTACTGGTGCTGACCATAATTTGTCTTTGCACTTTCAGCTAAACTGTGTTCAGACCAGTTGAGCTGTACCCACTGCTAACACCCAACAACAACAAAGCAAAGCATCTTTGCAGCATGTTTTAAGAGCTGTCAGGTGTGCCACATACATCTCATGGTCCACAACTATTATAATAGATTTCCCAAATAACATTAATTCAGAGCAGATGTGTTACATGCAAGCTTATTTGCAATGCGGTCATGCATTGAGATGTCCAAAGATAGGAAAGGGAGGAAATATGATTACAGGGATAATAAAACAAACAGAACACAAAAATGGTATATACTATATATTAGGCAAAAAAGTACAGTTCATCAATAACACTTTCCAAGAGGGAAAACATAGGAAAGCATATTCTTCTCTTTATAATTTGCCTGTGTCAAAGTGTTTCTTAACATTCTTAATTAGTTCTACAATAACATTTAAAGTCATTCTGTTGGGGTCAAGACGCTTCCATAATCTTGATAATTTTAGAATTAGAAATTGTACCACAGGAAAAAAAAAGTTCTTGCCCTCTGTATTTCTGGAATTTTCTGATCAAACACCTGTGCCCTCAGATGAGGATCTACAAGGGATCAGTCCTTCATAAAGCTCTCTAAATTTTTACTGCTTAGTTTGCCTGATAATCATTTTAATATCCATGTCAGAACCTACCAGTTCACTGCAGGTAAGATCTCTGATCTGAATAATTTTTGATTTTACTGCTTTCTTCATCAATGCCAGCAGTTAGGACTATGATAATGACATATTTCCCCCACCCTATGGTTTCATTATTTGGAGCTGCTCTTTTAATTGCAAAGAAATTCTTTTTAGGAAGTTGTGTTCCAAACAGATTTTTGACTGAGTTGGAATTTTTTTTTGCCCCGCTTTCTAATAACCGTACTAAATCTATAGTTTCTTTTGTTCTCTGAGTGCTTTGCAAACCTAAATCTTTTTCTGTTTAATTGTTAGCATGACAGCAGATGCCCAGCAACAAAGCCAACAAAATATTAACAATCATCTTGAACAGGAAACATTGTCTGTTCAGTTGTTTTTAACTAGAACTTTGACATTTCTAAATTTTAATTTTGCTGCTTTTCAGCTAACAATTATTGTACCTTGATTTTCTGTTATTTTCTATTCTACATTGTGACGAACTGGGACTGTTCTTACTGTGGTCT